GCTGCTGCTGTAAACTGTCTACATTTAGTCAGTGATCTATGTGGGCAGGAAAGAATACAATCGCATTCGCTCAGTAACTGCATCACTGAGAGAGAGAAAAAAAGAACTGGGCTGTGGCCAAGGAGGGAGACCCTAAAGGTGCTCAGGATGTAGTGATTCAGGTATGGCACAAAACTGTAGTGATATGTGAGCCTGGGAGGAGGGGCGGAGGAGGAGGGAGAACTTACTGAAAGTCTGTGTACAGAGTTACCACTCCTGTCCTAGCCGGTTTGGCCCAGTGGATAGAGTGTCAGCCTGAGGACTGAGGAGCCTGGGTTCCATTCCCGCCAAGGGCACACGCCCCGGTTGCAGGCTCGATCCCCAGTAGGGGGTGTGCAGGAGGAAGCCAATGATTCCCATCATTGATGTTTCTATCTTTCTCTCCCTCTCCCTTCCTCTCTGAAATCAATAAATATATCTATAATAATAAAAGCATAATATGCTAATTAAACCGGACGTCCTTACAGACGACCTTCCGGACGAAGCCAGGGAAGCCTGGGTCCCGGGTGCCTGCTGGTGGCAAGAGGGAAGCCCGGGTCCCAGGTGCCAGAGAGAAGCGGGTGCCAGCAGCAGGGGAAGAAAGGCCTGCGCCTGCACGAATTTTGTGCATCGAACCTCTAGTATTTAAAATAAGAGTTACCACTCCTATCCTTGAAAGAAAGCTGACAACTAGGCATCAAGTCCCCAGGTCAAAAGCTAGAGGTTCTTCTCTAAGCAATTAAATAATCCCAAAGAAAAGAGTCCTACCTTCTGGCCCCTGGGACCCCCATCATACTAGTTCAATGATGGCGAATCTATGACACGTGTGTCAGGTGACACGTGAACTCATTTTTTTGGTTGATTTTTCTTTGTTAAATGGCATTTAAATATATAAAATAAATATCAAAAATATGTCTTTGTTTTACTATGGTTGCAAATATCAAAAAATTTCTATATGTGACACAGCACCAGAGTTAAGTTAGGGTTTTTCAAAATGCTGGCACGCCGAGCTCAAAAGGTTCGCCATCACTGTACTAGTTGGTTCCCAACTCAATACCCCAAAGTGAAGCCTGCCAGTCAAAAAGCTTCCCCAAGAGCAAAGTTTCATACAGCTTTGCACCGTCTCAGTCTTAGTTGTAAAGAGCCAACCAAGGGTCACTGGAGTTGAAAAAAAAAAAAAAAAGAGTTACACTTTTTGGGTAAAGAACGGGTTATTTCTATCGGCTTCTGGACCATTGCTGAAAATGTTTCAGTACGGCAATGCTTACAGCCAGATAAGAATGTGGACTTGAACATGCTTGCTTCTGCCCGGCCGGTGTAGCTTAATGGCTGGGTGTTGTATTGTGAACCAGGTGGTCACAGTTCGACTCCTAATCAGGGCACATGCCCGGGGTTGCGGGCTCCATCCCATGCAGGAGGCAGCCCATCAATGATTCTCTCTCATATTTGTTATTTCTATCTCTCCTTCTCCTGTCATCTCTGAAATCAATAAAAATATATTTAAACAAATAAAAAACATGCTTACTTCTAATGGAGCTTACATCTCTGGGCAGCTAATCTAATTTAAAGTCCATGTAGGGCCCTAACTGGTTTGGCTCAGTGGATGGAGCGTCGGCCTGCAGACTGAAGGGTCCCAGGTTCGATTCCAGTCAAGGGCATGTACCTTGGTTGCAGGCACATCCCCAGTAGGGGGTGAGCAGGAGGCAGCTGATCAATGTTTCTCTCTCATCGATGTTTCTAACTCTCTATCCCTCTCCCTTCCTCTCTGTAAAAAAAATCAATAAAATATATTTTAAAGTCCATGTAGGAAGATGAAAAAGCAAGAAGAAATAAAAACCAATTAAATTTCCATTAGAATAAGTAAACATTATTTATTATGGACCAAGTATAAATTATTATTCTATATAAAGATCATTACTAATCAGCAGTGAGCTTTGTAAGATCATCTCTACTGTCCTTTTTATTTACTGAATCCAACAAGGCTGCTCTTATTTTAACATTTTTCTTGGACTAAGTATTAATAAAAAATATATCTAGTGAAGATAAAATGTAGTTAGATGTTTTCAAAGATTCTGTTCTTGCTCTCTCCCCCACCTTATCTCCCCACACCACAGGGATAAAGCTCCTTATATATACTAGTATTACCACTACTTCTCTTGGCGGAACAAAAACACAATACAAGGATACTAGAAATATCTGGTTCTTTTTAATCAGCTATTGATGGAATAATAAAATAAATTTAAGTGGCACCTAATTTAACATTCAAGATAGTTCACTGAAAGATCATCTACAACACAATATGTTAAGCCTAATTGTTAAAATAACACCTCTTTTTTATTTTTTTCCTAAGAAAAGAGAAATAAAGGCATAACCAACAATTTGGGTTCATTTGGACACTTACAGATTATTTTGTAGGCATACTGGCAGGCACAATGTTGAAAAAACAATGCACTAGATTTAAAAATAATGGTAAGATAAAACAGGAGACCAATTCATTTCAGATTTAATATCTGATATTAAAGAAAATATTCACTAAATATCACAATAGATCTTTTAATGACTATTTTTTAACATTAAGAGTATTGTATTAGCGAACACCTTATCTTTGAACATTTGTTCAATGTATTAAATAATTTATAGAGAGAAATAAGTTTTGTGTTCTGTACAAATTAAAGGACCCATGAATAAATCGCCCTCCCCCAGCCAAAGCTCGAATTCGCAATGGTCTCAGCAGAAAATAAACAGTTCACAATTTAAACAGAATTCATAGCATTACAAAAGTTTACAGAACTCCTCTCTTATCATTTTTTCTAACAGCAAAGATTACAATGACAGAACTGAAAGATCAGAATGTAAAAATATTTGTGCAAAACTGCATTAATTGTTCTTACCATTTAATAGAGGTAAAACCTATAAACACACAAGGACGATAATAAAGAAAAACTACATTGAAAATCATTCTATTTTGGGTTTCAAACAACATGGATTATACTATTACTAAACATTAAAGAAAATGTGGCACCATGAGCAGCAGGAGCAACAGATGATTCCGGCAGTTGTGCCAGCCAAGGACGCTGACACTGGAATATGCCGAAGCTTACCTCCCCACCAGCCATCCATCTTCAAGACTGGAAACAACTATAGGGCTTACACCTCACATCAATGTCTTTATTCTTGAAAGTTGTAGATCATAATGACATAGTTAAGAAAGTCCTTTCCCCCTTCTCAAGGAGTGCTTCTTGTGTCACTGGAAATCCTTAGAAGAGTTGAATCATAGACTCTCTGGACTTCCCTACACCAATCCATTTAACTGAGAGAGGAAAATAAAGTATAAGAATTGTATTAATTCATTTATAATGTTGAATCTGGGATGAAGAGACCCCCTCTCCCCCCACTTTTCTCATTGTCACCATTTAACTTTGCTCTAGGTGCCTTTCGTTACCTTTTGTTCCATTCTGGAGCAGACTGTGCCAATTTCTAAACCATTAGAATGTGCAGGTGAGATCCAGCACCGAGTAGTTTACTTTAACGTTTCCTGTTTTAATGCACAATATTTACAATTCCTCAATTCCTAATCATTAGGATAAAAAATATTGGCCCAAACCAGCAGAGACCTAAAGAACCTTTGATTAAGTTCCTAATAACTAGAAAAGATAAGCCCCTTTGATGAATGGATGATGCTAAGATGATACTGAAGTGTCACAGTACCTTTTATATCTCATAAAAGTAGAACTTTCCGGAAGAGAACACTGTGTTAACTAGCACAGCCTTAGGAATTGCCTACTGTACCAGCCTACGGACATCTCTAATCACCTGCAGCTCCTGGGCAAATCTTTGATTTTACAGAATCATTGTTAAATTCGTTGTTTATATTTCAAACAATGTTGACTCAGGGTGAGTTGACTGAATTT